ATCTTAATACTATGTAGGGGCACTTGTGAACTGTTCACATCTGCCCCAGATGTTTTGTTCACAAGTGCCCCCATCATCCTTCTTAAACCTAACTTGAAAAATAAAGAACTTTTAATTGAGTAAAAAAAAAGAATAATTGTCATAAACTTACCTGAATGTTCATATAATGATCTGCAATAGTTAATTTTAGTTTATTAGTTGATTTATATTATGCTTTCACTTGGAGAAGCGAGCGATTATAATATATGCAACACCAGCTGATACAAAGAAATTGTCAGAATAGACCAACAAAATGTCTCATTGTTCTGAAAGTTTTTCAGAGAGGTAGGACTAGTACTGCCATCAATTGAAAATTTTTCGAGATTTTTCATTTCAAATCATATTGGTAAAACATACCATGTTCACATGTGCCCCCCTCTCCCCTACTTAGGATGAATTTTAGACCACATATTAAAAAAATAATGTAAAAATTTTGAACATAAAAATAATTTTTTTTTTGAAACGAGTAAAATTTCTATCCTTACTAAATTATAAAATCTGGATACAAATTGTAAAGCTTTGATAAATGTCATGTTGAACCTTTCTCCCAAAATTTCCTTCTCTCTCAATAAAAGTACATTATTTTGTAATGCTTTAATGTATTGAATAACTGTATTTAATATATTGGTTTAATACACTTTAAAATATTGAAGTAAAAAAAATTGACAGTATGTTAATCATGCAAGCAAAAAAAAAAAAAATTGTCAAAAATTTCTGCATGTATTAACTAGCAAAATTAAATCTATAAAATGACATATTTCTGCATTGGTATTTATTTGAGTTGACTACATTTGTCAAAGATTTGCTAACACCTCTTAAGCTAGTCTCCTTCTGTGAAGTTTTGTAGCGTTTCTTGCAGATAGGATTGGGTTTTCGACAAGTCAAAAATTTGTCGGAAAGTGTCAAAAACAATCAAAATCCGTCAAAAACCTGGGGTAAGTTTCTTTTTTGTCATTGTAGACATTATATTCTATACTAAATCATGCATAATACTTGCATTATATACAGCTATAATTATGATTTATATTATATATCACAAATAAAAAATTTAACCAAAATTATTGAAACTATTATTTGATTTTTTTTAATGGTAATCTTAATACTTCAAGACCCATATTTTAACTACAGTCGAACCCCGCTATAGTGAACCGTCTGCGGACTCAGTAATGTGTCCACTATAACCGATGGTTCACTATATCCAAATTTTTTGATGAATATTTTTTGCATAAGACAGTTGAATGATTGAAAATTGGCTTTGCANTTATCAATCTATTGATTTAATTTCTTTTATGTTACAATTTAGGCAGATTTTTTAGATTAATTAAAATTAAAGTGTTTGCTAATAATTGTCTGATCTCAATGTATAAGTTTTTTTCTTCTTTTTATTCTCAATATTTGTTATAATTAATTATATTCAAGGGAGCAGAATATGTCTGACTGTGTGAACGAGGCTTTAGAAGAAATTCAGGTGACCCTGGGGAAATTTCTGGTTTCCTACAAAATTTTTTGTCAAAAAATGTGATGCTTTGAAAAACATTTAAAAAAACAAAAAACATATGTCAACTAGTGCATTTATTAGTTTGAATTCCTGAAGTTTAAAAGTGGGACCTTAAATTTAATTTAATAAATTGTTACAATTTCAATATATTTTTTTAACACAGATGCTCGTTTATTCAAGAATTGTGTAAAATCAAATGAATTTTTTTCTCATATAAACTTTATTTTCCAAAAATATTTAAAAAAAATTATGGTACTAAAAATTTATTGTACGAAATATTTAAAATTTCCTAGATACATGCTATTTTATTATGTTATAATAGCTTTAGTATGCAAATTTTCTATTCTATGCAGCTCAGCATCAATCGAAAGAGTATTTTCGAATTTTGATCTTATGCAAACAAAACTGAAAAACGAACTTGGGTGCAGAGAGCTCTCAAACTGTTTTTTATTTTTTAAATTGCATGCTTCAGGAAAGGAAGTTAAAATGAGAGTAAATGAAAATTGATATTACATATAATGAATTACATAATTGTTGAGTGTTTTCTTAAAGCTGATTGTTTTTGTATTTTTGTTCTTAATAATTTAAAAAAATAATGGATTGGATATATTTCAATTTTGCACATTTTTATTTATAAATATTTCTTATTTATAATAGCTAACAATTATCCTTAAATCAAAATTTTGGGTTTTCGACACTTGTCAAAAACCATATCAAAAAGGGTTTTTTGATATGAAGGATAAAATCATGGTTAAAACCATCAAGTGTCAAAAACTTGCCAATCTTGCTTGCAAGTTGCCAAAACCTGGCAATTATTTCAGCTAAAATACTGATACAGATATCTTCTCATATAAAATAGTTCATAAAGTTAAATTGTTCTAACCATTTTAATAATGATTATAATTAGTATTTTCAATCATATTTTGATCTTCCTCAGATCTTTATGACAGAAAATATGTTAAACAGGTAGAAACTTTATTTTCAAAATGTAAAATCATTACACAGATATTGAAAATAATATATCATAGTTATTCAGCAAGGAAAAATAAATAATAAAAAAAAGCTAAATACCTTAATCCTAACTTCACCAGCTTTAGGTGGAGCAACTTCAACATCTTCAATAGTTAATTGTTCTTTAGGTTTCCAAGCAACTGCAGCCTTGCATTTTATAATCTAAATAAAGAAAAATACAAGTATTTAATACAACTTAAAGAGTAAATGAATAAAATAAACTCACGAGATAGCACCAAAACAATTTTTTGAGTATTATTTTTATGGTAGCAGTAAAAAAAAATTTCAAGCTATTGACACTGACTTATGATGACATGGGATAGCTAGTAAAATTTTTTTGGTAATACAGTACAAAACCCGTTATCCGGAAATCAGAAAACCGGAAAACCAAAAAACCGGAACGAAATTCGAAAAATTTTCCCGCGATTTTTTTTAAAAAGATGTTTTTTTCTTCATAAGATTTTAGGATTTTTCTTTCTTTTTTGAAGGATGTTTACCTTACCATCAGTTTAGAAATAATCATTAGTGTATTACTTCATCGTTTTTTCTTCTTTTTAAGATAATTTCCAAATATATATTTCTTTTTTTAGTTGGGTTTAACGATAAAAAAACGGCTTTTTGTAGCGATTCAGAAAACCGGAAAAATCAGTTATCCGGAATAGCGATGGTCCCGATCATTCCGGATAATCGGTTCCCTACTGTATTTCATTTCATATGAAGTTACATAACTATCTATGACACTTTAAAAAGAAAGTACATGACTATAAAATCTAATCCAAAACTTATCTTGATTAGAAAAAAGTGAAGTTTTTAAAAAAAACCAGGGTTAACATTTCATCTGGAAGAAACCTAATTTTTCCAGGAAAATAGAATAAAGTAGAAAACTCCTGAAGAAACTAAGACTAAATGGAAGAAACAAAAATTCACCAATACAATTGTTAAATGACAATTAAAAAAAATTGATTCTTAATTATTTTCCTAAATAAACATTTACACTTAAAATTAATTATGAAAACTCATATTATTTTTAGTTTATTGAATATTCTGATTAAAGATAAAATTGTCGAGAAGAAAAAAATATTACTTGGTAAAATACTTATTTAAATATTAATACTTTGTTAAAATATTTTCGATTGGTTAAATTTTTTTTTTGTAAGTTCAGATACCTTTTTTAAAATTAATTTTCTTTTAAAAAACTGATTAATTAAACAATAAAACAAGAACTAGTTTTTCCCCCAAAATTTATAATATTAGAAAATCCTAAGCAAACACTATAAAGCTATCAAACTGCAAAAAACAATAAAACTTTACCTATAATGATCATATTTGAAAACTTATAAGTTTAATATTTTAAATAAAACTAGCAAGTTTTGACACGACTTTGAGCTCAAAAAAGTTTTAAAGTTGTTTACAGCTAAACCAAATTTTTTAACATCTTTTGGAAAATCACTTATTTGTAAATAAAAATAGTTTAAAATTTCCAATATAAATAATAATTAACTTACTTCATTATTAGGTATGTAAAAATAAAATTTATATTAGAAATAATCATTGATAGATATACCTTTAGCACTTTAAATAAGAATTATTTTCAGTATTTATATTTAACAGTATATTTTCTTATGGAAATTCGCACGCTGTTTGTAATTATGAATACAATGTGTAATTTACAATCTAATACAAAACATATATAATTTGATTATGATGTTGTTAAGAATCAGTTACATAAATAAAAAATTAAGTAATACTGTACTTCATTATGTAACAAATGAAACATTTGTTTTAATATCTTAATGATTAATTAAATAAATTTTTCTTTTCAATTTTCGCTTTTTTATTTGATTGATGATTTGTTTTATCTTCTAATCTGTTTTATCTTACTTGATGAAAAATGATTTGTTGAGAGACTTAGAAATACTTTTATGATTTTTTCCACTTAGGAAGAAACTTGCTAGCCCTGTAAAAAAAGAAATTTTTGTTTTTTAAGGATGTGTAGATATCTTTTTATTTATAATTTAAGTACAAAAACCCCCAATAAAACAAACTTCACTTGCAATTAGCTAAAAAATGTTACTACTGGATAATTAAATATTTTTACAAGAATTCAATTAGCAAAAGGTAACAATAGAAACACTTTGCGCAATTTATACTTCTTTAAAAAAACTATATTTCTTTATTTACTTGGTTCCAGGTGCAATATTATATACATATACTAATCAACAAGTTTTGCAAAAAACATTTACTGATTGTTGCATTATCAGGAGTGATTGTGAGCCCAAGTCAAAATTCCGGAAAATTTTTTGAGTAAAAAAAAAAAAACAGTTTAAATTGAAAAAAATTTAAACAAGGTTTTTTCCCCTTTTCTCAATCTTTCTTAGTTTACTTAAAATATATTTAAAATTTTACACATACTTATACCATTTACACATAGCTATGANTAATTAAAATTAAAAAAAGATTGTGAAAAATATTTGTATTTGAATTGTAATTGAAAGAAGAAAATTAAATACGTAATAAAAAAATAAAATCTTGAACTCAAGGTTTTACTTTAACATAAAAAGTTTTAAAAATTAGCAAATCAATTTTAAAAAAATTAACAAACTTTATTTGATCTATAGAGAAAATATAAATTTATTTTTAATGTAGTTACTTTATATGAATTACTTTCATATGACTACATAGTAAAATTTTATAAATTTAAATACTCTGGTTATTATTAGTTCTCTAAATAATCAAATCAAAATAATAAACAATTCAAGATATAATTAGAAAAAGTGCATGTTAAATAAAATGATAAAACTATTTTGAAAATAAATAAAGTCGTTTTAGAGTTAAAAAAAATATTTTTTAAGTTTTTCTTAGAAAGAGAAAAAGCATAATATAAGATGAAGAGTGAGTTTCTTCTGATATCTTTTGAAAGCTAGTTGATCCCCGCAGGTAGCAATCCCCCTTCTGTGACAGTGGTTAGTCGATTAGTTTCGGGTTACTTACAGGGGTCTGTCTAGGTTTTTCTGAGATGTACCTATTTTGTGAAAATTTAGGCATGATTTGTGAAAAATTAAAAATTATATTTATAAATCAACACAAAAATATGGTAAAAATATGGATTTATCGTTGCTTAAGGGATACAAAAATAAAATTTTAAGAAAAAGTATGTTGTGAAACTACCGTTTTTCCTAAAGTTGAATTTGTGAAGGTACCGCTAAACGGTAGTAAATTCAGCCTGGACAGATCCCTGACTTAACACACGCACCCCCACAAAAAATGTAGGGGAGACAGTGGAACGGGTTTTGGAGGTGCAATATATTTCGTCCCTTTTCGAACCTATCCTTACTGAAGGTTAGAATTGAAATGGAAAGGCCTCCTTAGGTTATTCTTTGGCCAAGATATTAACTATTTACTGATAAAAAATTAATATTAATCTTGAATATGAAGTATCTGGCTCTCCCTTACAAACAAATAAAATAAACTGTGTTTTTAAGTTTCACCTTTGAAAATTTGATTTCCGGTAAGTTTTGTGATCAATGATTTTTTGAAACGTCTGGACCCTCGATCTCCGGAAACTTCCGGATATCGATTAGCGAAAAATTCAGAAATCCGGAGCACAATCAGACCTGCATTATAAATTAAATTATAAATAAAAATGCAGAGTAGGAAAATTCGTTCCATAACATAAATATAAGGAGGGACTTATACAAAACCGGTGTCAAAGCTTAGTTAGTAAATATACAAATTATATGTTCATACTTGTCCTTTTGTATTTTCCATGGTGTAACAATATCAAATTTCTTTTAAACTTGTTATAATTAAAAACAAGTTGAAACTTTGGGTTGAAATATCTTATCAAATATCTATTGACGGCCGATTAACGAGTTAACAGTTAAAGTGGGAAATGGAGTAAGAACGCTTCCGTCCGCTTATTTCTTGGAAGTTAAATGTAAATTTAATGGACTTTTACTGCTGTTACTGCTTTTACTACTACGTGACGATAAAACTACGAAGAGTAAGTATGAGCAAGTAGGCGATCGCAATGCTCGAATATGCCATCTGGCGAGAAGACCGGTTCCACGTTTTTGGTCCATCCCCCTTAGCTCTCGTGCTCTATTCAGTTGTATAAATGTACTACGATATTTTATCCTTTCGTAATATTTTTCATATTTAATTGCTGACTGTTGCTTCGCTGCCCGACTTTTTAATACATAAACCCGCCTGATTGGTTCAAGACACTATCGTTTAATCGTTTTCCTGATCGTTTTCCAGATTAGCATTTTAAGCATTTATTTGTTGTATTTTTCAAATGCGCATGCTCGGGTGGGAAATGTATTCGTACCAATCGTAGTACGTTGTAGATAAAGATTATATAGACTGTTGTATCCTCTTCTTTTGTTGTGGACTCCGAGTTTCACTCACTAATGAAGTCTTGGATTTTGATGTCTTTTCGAAAAAAATGACCATATTAAACATTTTCTTCAAATTTTCAAAATATTAACGGTCGATTTTCATGTTGAATATAATTTTAACAATCTATTAGGCATGTTTCAGATAAATTGTGATATTCTTAATATGAAATTTTTTTTCAGAATTTGTAGAATTTTTCTTTTTAGTGCTTTAAAAAATTAGCAACTCCCATTTCATTGCATTTTTGTTCTCATCTTTAATAAGAATTCTTAAAATATATGTTAACGGTGTTCTTTACGGACTATTTTTGAGCTGACTTTCACGAATTCAATATTTGGTCCTAAACTTTTTGTTACAATAAATTTTCGTTGTAATATAAAATTCAATTTTAAATATTTTTTTTTTTAAAAATTAGAATTGGAGGAAATTCAAATATTGATATTATAGCTTGAATTTTTATTCCTTAATATTTAAAAATACTTTTCCTGGGATGTGGAGATATTCTAACTTAGTCTAAATCTGCTCTTAAAAAAGGTGAATATTTAAACCCAACCAACCTTTGGACTACTTCTCCATTGGCAAAGCTTAATAAATAAGGTCCCATGCTTCAATCCACCCGCTACACTTCTTTGAATTTTATACATACTTTATTACAAAATCTTGCCAATCGATTATTTGTTATGTTCAATAAACACACAGTTTAAATTAAATACAACTTTATTAATAGTCAAGAATAATTATATGAAACATGTTAAACCTCGTGGTTCCGTTCAACAACAAACGCTGACGTCACCCCCGGCCTGTTGCCATCCTCCTAAGGTGTATACTATAATCGATTACGATTATATGACACATCCCCTGTTTCAGATAAATTGCATTAACAATAGTGACATGAAACATCCTTTGTTTTGAATAAATAGTGGTAAGAATCATAATACAACTCATAATCAGCAAATCGTGTGCAACATTTCTCCCACACCTTTTTTTTACAACAAGAAAAGAAATATCTAACATTCATAATCATCTAAATACGAGGGCACTCTAACCAATCGTCCAAATCTTGTTTTAGTTTGAGCATTAATATCATTACTATTTATGGGTGAGCTAATAGCATTACTATTTATGGGTGAGCTAACATTGTCACAATCCTCTCATTTGTTGTCATGAAATTCATAATCATCTTCTTGATCAAAGTTAAAAGTGTTTGTTACCTTTCTCAGATATTTCCTATTTCTAACTAATTTCTTATCCGTTTGTGTCTTTATAGTATAAGATCTAGGATTTTTATTCTTAGATACAACAACAGCTGGCTCCCATGATTTAGTTAACATATTTTGAACTATTACTTTATCCCCTGGATTTAGTAGCGTTAATTCCTTAGCACTTTTGTCATAATAAAACTTCTGCTTCTCTTGATTTTGTTTCTGTTTCTTAGCAAGCTCAGGGTAGATCCTTGGTTTTAAGAGTGTTTGACAGATTGGTAACTTTGTTCTTAGCCTCCTATTAAACAATAGTTGAGCTGGAGACAAACCTAGCCCAGTAATTGGTGTGTTTCTATATTCCAACATTCCTAACACAGGTCGTTTATTATCATCATAAGCCTTTTTTAGAATTGATTTTACAATGCCCACAGCTTTTTCAACCTGCCCATTACTTTGGGAATGGTATGGACTGATAAATATTAACTCAACATCCCATTCTTTTGCAAAATTTTTGAAATCGATACTATTAAAGGGAACATTATCACTAACTATGTACTCTGGGACTCCAAATCTGGACATAATCATCTCTAACTTTAATATTATTTCTTTCATGCTTTTACTTTTAATTTCACTTATCTCAATCCATTTGGAAAAATAATCAACAACAACTAGGTAATCAATATTCTTAAATAGCATTAGATCAACACCTATCTTTTGAAAAGGTCTATTAGGAATTTCATGAGGAATTAATGGTTCTTTTGTTTGCCGTTTCTGATAAGTATTACATATCTGACAGTTTTTAACTATTTCTTCTATATCACGACCCATTCCAGGCCAATACATTACTTCTCTAGCCCTATTTTTGCACTTTTCAATTCCTAAATGTGCTTCATGAATAAGGTTTAACATTTCATTCCTTAATTGTTTTGGAATTATCAGCTTATTACTTAAAAACAAAAGATCATCGACTATATAGATATCAGCTTGAAGATTATAGTATTTTTTTAAAATGCCTGATAACTTACTTTTATGGGGCCATCCTTCTTTGCAATATTTAAACACTAACTTAAGATCAAAATCATCCTGGGTAGCCCTACGAAATTGTTGCATTCTACGTTCACTGACTGGAAGATATTTAGTTATCATGTGTACCATATTTAACATTTCTGGATCATCTTCAACTTTATCCTTAATGAAAGCCCTGGATAAAGTATCAGCCACATACATCTGAGTACCTGGTAGATAATTTAAGGTAAAAGTATATTTAAGTAATTTCAAAAGCATTCTTTGTAAGCGGGTGGATATCTTGTTAATAGGTTTTTGAACAATTGCTGTCAATGGCTTGTGATCAGTTTGCACAATTACTTTATGCCCATATAACATATTGTGATATTTCTCAAATCCAAACACAATAGCCAAAAGCTCTTTCTCAATTTGTGCATAGTTAATTTCAGTTTCCGTTAGACTACGGGAAGCGA